AATTATTTAATTGCTCCTTCCTCTCTTCCTTGGCATGTTGTGAAATTTCTGATAGTTGGATAATAAACCGTTTTATTGTAATTTGTCTTTTTAAATTATTTTGAGTTGATATTAAAATTTGAAAAAGGGGGATCCCTAGATCGGTAAAATAGGTGAATTTCCTCCTACAACGTCGGTTGTTGTTCGGGGTACAGTTAAGGTTTTAACAAAGTTCGAGCGAATACATAATTAGCATAAAAAAAGTTGAAATAAAGTGATTAAACAAAAATTATTACAAATATCGTAAATAACAGTTCACAAATGCATATATAGAAGAATATTTTTTGAAATCGATCGCGCACACAGTGAAATGCTCGTATACACGCGCGCCATCTATCGTAGGATAAATGTACTATGCCAGAAACCTTCGCGGGAGTGTATTAAATTAAAAAACTTCCCACAGTTTCATGGCAATCGGATAAACGGTGTGGTAATGCATGAAGGACAGACGAACAGACAGACATACATTCATTTTTATATATATAGATTATTCTTGCCACATTTTAAATTTTTCATACGTGTTATTATTATTGTCGAGAGGGATCTTTGTATTATATTTTATTCTGTTTAAACTTTGTTTTTATTCTAATTATTTAAAAACTAAATATTTTTATGTTTTATTTTTGAAGAGGGAGTTTATTTGATTTTAAAAAAATTATTGTTTAAATAAGTAAAATAAAATAAATAAAAATAATTAAAATTAAAATTTCTCATTTTTCATATTAATCGTTACAAAAATTATATTTCTGAAATTGAATTTCTTATAATACGAAAGATTTTATTCATTTGAATATTTAAAAAATATATTTTTTAATTATAAAATATTTATTGTTATTGAAAAAGTATTAAAAATAAAATTACAACAAAAAAATTATAAATATTTTTAGACATTGGCTACTTTTGTGCTATAGCGAATTATCGATATACGGTAGGGAGAATAAATCCGCATTGTGCGTCCCGCTCACGTAAGTAGCAGTTGGGGTGCAACTCTTTTGGTCGTGTCTAACAAGACTCATCCAACACTATCAACTGCAATCCATTTTCATCTTTAAAATGCCACCAAAATTTGATCCAACCGAAACTAAAATCGGTAAGTTAGGTTTTAAACTATATAAATAACTCGTTATTATGAAGAAGAATGGAGCCGCCATAGCCCATTACTAGAAAATTCGGTAAGAAAATGTTAACTTTTGTAAGGATTTCTGTAAATAATGGCCGATTTTGTTTGTTTTTTAAAAATAATTTATAATAATATCTGTTATATATAACGTTTATTACTTTTATAGATTAATCTTTTAGAAAATTACCATACCACGTGGTATATTTACGTGATGTTATTTTTATGAATAATGATTATTGTGTTTGTAATTATTACAAAACGGCAATTTTTGTACAGAATATAATTTATACAAAATATTAATAAATTTTAACCCATTATTTAGTTTATTTGAGAGTAGTGGGTGGAGAAGTTGGTGCCACGTCATCTCTTGCACCCAAAGTCGGTCCTTTAGGATTGGTAAGTGTTAATTCCAAAATGCTGTTTAATGTAATATAACATTTTCAAGTTTTAATAACAATGAGTTTCTCGTTAATAATGTATTTGTTTCAGTATTATAGTAGGTAAAATTGTTTTCAATTTTACATGTATTTGTATGAAATACTGTTATGTTGAAACAATTACTCTAAATGTGAAACAGTAAGAATAATTGTCACGTTTTCATTGATTATACAGTAACATGTAGGAAGTTAAGCAATTTTATAACTTGAAAATACAGGTAAAACGTCACAAATTCTGTAAAATGATCAATTTTAAATATAATCCTGATTTTTAACACATTTTTGAAAAATTTTATGCATTTTTATCAAAATTGATGAGTTTCTGAATTTTTTTTAAGGTTCTTGTATTTTTACATTTGAACACATATTTACTGTGTTGTTACAAGCATCTGAGTGGACGACTTAATGTTATTTAGTATTAAATGTAAATTTGGGTAGAAATTACTTTTAGGCAATTTGTCTACATTTTGTGCAGTGAAAATGAAAATAAACGACTTCTAACAACTTAACACTGTGTTTTTTAATAACAACCCACGAAAAACCTTTTTAACGAGTGTTATGTCACAATGAAAGTTTAACAGGTTGTCTCTGTTCTGTATGTGGGCAAATTAATGTTGCTTTATCGTACTAAAATACGAGGGCAGTTTTTGTTTCAACCTTTGATGGTCCATAAAACAAAGACAAGTGTAAATAACAAAATTAATTTATTACAGAAAGTTATGTACAAACATGGTTACTTTTCAACGTGATTGCTGTGAAGATTGAGGTGTTTGTCAAATCTGTGAGCGAGCTTTGCAATTCCCTCTTTGTAGAATGTTGCAGCCAGTGACTTGAGATGGGCCTTAATGTTTTGAAGATCATCATTAGTCTCGAATCTCTGCCCTCCTCTAGCCACTTTTTCAGTTTGGGGAGTCGTGGAAGTCACTCAGCACTAAATTGGGGCCATATGCTTGGTGTTTAAAAAGTTTCCATTGAAATCGCTGAAGAAGCTGTTGGGTTACAGCAGCACTGAGGTTGGGCATTGTCGTGACTGTTCTTATATTTCAGGGGTGATGTATTGAATTCAAATTTCATCTCCACTCATGTCAAAAAATTGTGATGATTTTTTGACATTGTGACTGGAGATGAGACTTGGCTTTTAGCATCATAATGAGTGAGAAATGTCACTGCTGTTGCCATTCAGTGACCTTTGTGGTCATCGACAACATCTTTGGAACCCTTCGAGTGCACAGTTTTTTGTAGTGTAGATGATCTGTTATGATCCTGTAAACAGATTATCTTGAAACTTCAGGAAATTCCATGCACAACTCATTTATGGCAAACCTCTGTTTTTTCAAGCCGCTTTGTCAACTCACTGAACAAATATCTTCTGTTGCGACAGACTTGTGTCCTTGTCCTTTGTCGTGAACATTGATTTGGTCTCCTTTAAATTTCTCATAAAGTTTTCAAGTTTCACCATATACCTGTCTCATTCTTCACTAAATTTCTGCAGCACTATTCTCTTCTGCTTGAAGAAATCAAATTATATTATGCAACTTGCACTTGGCGGGAGAGTCAATCGTAGCAACCGTGTTTAAGTGCCTGCAACTAAGCCCACAATGATGTAATGACAGAAGTGGTAGTGGCTATTATAGCAGAGATGTGCAATTGCCTTCACAAATACCTGCCTCCTTCCACTTGATTGGCTGTTTATCTGCACAATCAGAGGTTGAAACAAAAACCTCCTATGTAACTTGTTTAGAGGTCAAGTTTGTACAGAATTGGTTGTAACAGCAAATTAGGGACGATGTGTGCTTATTTATTATTTTAGAATTTGGCTTTTATTTACAGATCTTTTTGATTTGTGTGTGTTGTAAAAATGCTTTTGTTGTCAGTACTCTGGATCAAACTGCCTGTGAACACTAAAGTGGTCCCTTTTCACAAGTTATTTTAGATTTGACCAGACCGCAAATGGGGATGATTGTGTGGTGAGCAAGACATCTGGGGTAGATCACTGAAAAAATTCTTGGAGTTTATTTGATTGCCTGGATTAAATTGTTTCCCCAGAAGCTGTAACTGCTTCAGCAATCTGCCAGGCAAGTTAATCATGATTGTGACAAGATCAAAAATTCTTTATATAATGGTGCCAAATAATGTTTAGGGAACTGATGATTATACATTCCTTTGTAATAGCTAACTTTTAATGATGTGAACCTGGAGTTAATTTTAAAACTATTATATTAAATTATTTTGCATAATTTTTGGTATTTTTAAAAATGCGGACTTTTTTTGTGTTTTATATTTATATATTAGAAAGTTACCTAAGTTTCTCATTTAAGTTTTGTATTTTACTTTACAAATTCTCACTTGGCCCTTCCCAAGGGATATACTGTGCCCACCTTGTCTATTATGTTTGTTTATTCTACCATTCATTTGTTTCATATTCTGAAAATTTTAGTTATTGTTGAGCTTAAGTATATTTTTTATGATGTAATTTGAATGTTTCAGTTTTTTCTTTTGCACAAAGTATTCCCTTTGTACAAGATGCAAATAATGTTAAACATATTTCTCTCAGTTGGCAGTATTGTAAATGATTTGTTTTTAGGCTGTTGTTCCTTATTGAGAGTGCATATAAGTCACTTAGTTAACTGCATTTATTAACATTGTTGGTTTGCTCATTGGTGTACTGGCAGTGCAATTTTTTTAGGAATAATATTAATAGTTTATATTTTGATTTAAATTAGTAAGTAAATATGTGTTCTTGGCTGCAAAAATGTTTATTATTCAGTCTGACATTACTGTGTATTTTTTTTTTTTTTTTTGCACAAAATATAGTTATTTTTCAAAGATGGTCATAAAATGTTCCCCTCTCCCTTTGTTGATAGTTCATGCAAAAGAAACTACCTTGCTAATCAAAGGTTAATGAAATGTTTTCAAGAAAAGAATTCATTTAAGTGAAGTTTACCTGTATTTGAAGTCTGTTACATCAATGTAACTTAGTTTTTTTTACATATTCATTATTTTATTAATGAATATTCTGATTGAATCATTGAAAAAATTGAATATTCTGATGCCCGATGATTACAACCAAATCTTGAGGGAGACCGTGAATGCTGTGAAAGTGCTGCTTCGCTCTAACCCTAATTTCCCCACTTTTACATCTTTGTCTCGCTCTATTCATCTGTTTCCTCACTTTTTGTAGTGGCATTAGTAATGGCTAGTAACGGATGTGTCCCATTGATTGAAGATTATGAGATCTGAGGGCATCCGATTTTTATTATTATTATTGATTCGATTGTACTTAATTTTGTACTTAAAATTGAAATGTTTTCTACTTAGTCACCAAAAAAAGTTGGAGATGACATTGCCAAGGCCACTGCAGATTGGAAAGGTTTGAAAATCACAGTCAAGTTGATTATTCAAAACAGACAAGCTCAGATTGAAGTTGTTCCTAGTGCTGCTTCACTCATCATCAGAGCTTTGAAGGAACCTCCCAGAGACAGAAAGAAAGTTAAACATGGTATGCATGATGGCTTTTTATCATGTGTGGTTTGTAACATATACAATGTAACAAAATATTCTAAAATGTGGATAAAATTTATCTTGCAGTAAAACACAATGGAAATCTTGCTTTTGATGACATCGTTACCATTGCTCGTACTATGAGACCACGTTCCATGGCCAAAGATCTGGCCGGCACGGTGAAGGAAATCTTGGGTACCTGCCAGTCTGTGGGATGCACGATAGATGGTAGCCATCCTCACGATCTTATTGAGAAAATCAAAGCCAAGGAGCTTGAAGTTCCAGAAGTGAGTATATTATCATCTGTTTAGTGTATTCAACTCAACTCTAATTTATTAATGTATATTTTTTTTATTTTCAGGAATAAAGTTGAAATAAAGTAAACTGACATTTTGAATTGGTGTGTCTTTATTTTTATCATTTAGTATTTAAATTTTTTATTTTTTCACACTTTTTTGATACAATTCAAATAGTTTACAGAGAAGAGTTTTATTGTTACATTATCTGTTATAACNATTTATTAAAATTCCTTATATTAAAAAACTGTATGAAAAAATATAAATATTTCTTAGGTAACCACCCAGTGAATCTGATAGGAAAACAAAATAATAGATTTAGTAAAAGCATTTATTCAATAAACAAAGGAAGGTCTACAATTCAGAAGAATCCTTTGGATATGGCCGGAGTCGTTTATAAACTTCAATGTACTGTACATGCACAGATAAGGTTTACATCGGAGAGACAGGAAGAAAATTCGGAATAAGATTGAAAGGGCACGAAGCGGCAATACGATTAAAAATAATAGAATCTCCCTGGTATCAACATTGTAGTAATAACACTTGTACTGTACTCTTAATCGTAATAACATAAAAATATTGTATAAAATAGAAAATTCATTTGTAAGAAGCATTGTGGAACACTATTGTATTAAAAGTTATGCAAATACTATTAATTTGAATACGTGAGTCAACATAGATGCATACTGGGATGGGCTAATCAAATATAAGAGCACAGATAATGTTAAACGAAATAACCACTGAAGAGGCTGTTAAGTGAAATGCATTTGGTGAAAATGTTTAATAAAGTAAGAAAGTGATTGACTTCAATTCTTTCAACTTGAATGTTTTTTAGTTTCTTTGAAATCAGAAAAACTGAGTAATTTTAACTCATTAGTTTGAGATATCTTTAAGTATCTTTTGGGCTTTTTAATTTTTTTAAATTTAACATTATTTGCGGTTTGCACCGGAAGTTCATATATAGTCAATCGGGGCCTCATGCCTGTAAGGTTTCCATATTTGGTCTCTGATTTCATCTATCTAATTCCATTCTCGAGAATAAGGAAAGACAGAGGGACGGACGACAGTGGAAATTTATAGGTCTACAGTTTTTTTCATATTGCAACCCGATAATGTATACTGTATATGATTAGTGGATCTAACAAAATGGAGAGTTAGAGGGAAACACATTCACGCGTTAAGAGACTTGAATATCCATTCAAAGATAATTTTGAGATTATGGCAATTTGCAGTCAATTTTTTTGTTTGTTTTTTAAGACTACTTTCAGCTACAGGAACATCTAGTTAATTCAGGCAGCAAAAATTCAGATGTAGGTCCTTTATATTATAATTTTTCATAGGGTGATTTGTCCTCTTTAGTTCGGGCTCTGCCATTCATTGTAACCGGGACAAATGTATTTTGGGCCCTGAAGAAAGGCCATTTTAGTGCCATCGGGCAAAAAGTTTAAAAAAAGGAACAAAATAGATAACAGGTATATCTTGCTTAATTAACACAGTTTTTCTTAACGCGGGATTTGATTAACGGGCAAAATTAATTGTGACAATCCCTTTACATATGTGGCAGAAGTTTTAATTTACGTGGCTCTACCAGCTGTCATACTTAATTAACATACTGTATTTTAATTAACCGCATTAATCAAGGGATAGCTGTACTTTTTGATCTAGTTCATTTGTACATCATTCATTATTTTTAATTAATAGAGTAAATATGAATAGATCATATCAAAATAAAATTAGTTTATCTTTTGGTTTAAATAAATTTATATTGCTTGCTGCATATAATTACTTTTAATGGCGTAGAAGATGATAGCTCTTCGGGTTCTCATCAGAATTACTCGTTAAGGTTATTTTTGTGTCGATAGAATTTTTTTCTCTTTTTGCCCTGTGGGCACTAAGAGGGCCTCTTATGTTGTTGTTGGTTAAGTTATGGCAACGCAACACTTGGACGATCTGCCTAGGAGGGATGCCTTCCGGGAGGTTTTTTTTAATACCCCGTTCGCACCGAGCATTTCGATCTAGATTGTGACTAAGGTCGGAGAGAGTTCCGTGGTGAGAACGCTCTCGACCGTTTCAATCTCGACTGAAACGAGGTTCTATCGCGATCGACTGGAGAGAGTTCTTGCAACTAGATCCAGTCATAAGAGAGATCCCACAATCCCACGCGCGCGAGAAAATACAAGATGGCTGCTGAACACGTGTCCGGCTATCGACAGAAAAATAAAAAAGACATCTGGAGAGACGATGACATCTGTCTATTATTAGATATACGGCAAGAAAAAGTATTTATTTCTAACCAAAACTTCCATTTTGTTTGTTGGTGTTCGTGACTTACCGCGTAGTTATGTCAATTTTATCATCGCGTGTAATAGCCGGGTTCTTCTCAAGCGAGTTACCTGTGCGAACAGCACGACGTTCCACTGGCGACAGTCACAATCCAGATTGTGGG